TGGAGATCGGCACNCGTAAAACCGCTTTACAAGGGTAAAGGGTCGCCGGAAGATATCAGCAGCTATAGATGCATTAACCTGACGTCGCACTTGTACAAAACTTTCACAGGCGTGCTCGCAGACCGAGTGACCACACAGTGTCTACCGCAGATCTCGGAGAATCAGCACGGTTTCCTTCCTCACAGATCATGCGAGGAGGCCCTGCAGGGACTCATTGAGTTCGTCGAGTCGAATAGAGAACCCACGCTTGCGGTGTTCGTAGATTTTAGAGCCGCATTTGACAATGTCAACAGGAAAAAGCTCCTCGAGACCGTAGGCAATAAATTCAAACTGAGAGGAAAACTCCTGAATGCGATCAAGGCCATAATGAAGCCGAACAACTTGATAGTAGACAACGGAGCAGATCTTGGCAAACCCGTCAAACAACACAAAGGGGTCCAACAAGGAGAATCAATCTCGCCTCTACTGTTTGTGATGTTCATCAATAGCCTTCTTGAAAGACTAGAAAGACGGAAGGTATTCGTGAAAATGTTTGCCGACGACCTTGTGATAGCCGGGGTAGACATAGAAGAAGTACAAAGAAGCCTATCCGTGTTATGTATTTGGTGCGAGGAAAATGAAATGATAATCAACAGTGAGAAAACGAAGGTACTGAAGTTCCGAAAGGCCGGCCAGATAGGGAAGCGCAAATTGTATATACATCGAAAGCCAATCGAATACGTGACCAGCTTCAAGCATCTGGGGATCACCATGCAGCCCGCGCAGAGTTTCAGCGAACACATCGAACAACTCCTGACCAGGACGGCCACCACCATGGCATGCCTCGGGAGCATCCGAAGGTTAACACTGGAGCTGGCCATCAAGATATTCAATATCAAGATCGTGCCAACCATCACATACGGAATGACGTGTATCTCGCAAAGACTGTCCAAAACAGCCTTACTAAAACTGGACAAGTGCAAGACACTGTATCTCAAGTCCGCCCTTGGGCTAAGCAGGAATACATCGAATACGTTCACCCTGGAGCTGGCAGGGGAGAAGTCCCTCTGTGAGAATTTGGAGGAACAGGGATTCAGATTTGAGGTAGAAGCCTGGAAAGAGTACGGAACGATAAGATCGGAAAAGAGAGCCAAATTCGAGACCGAACAATACGCATTGGGACCAGCCTTCACGGGAGAGGGATGGAGACAACAGAACAGACCCGACCGCCCGACGATTGTTAGAACCACTTATCATGGTTATCATCATAAAATCTGTAGGAGGAGAGACCTCTACACTGTAGCACACAGCGATTGTGTTTGTACATACTGTGGGAAGAGCAAAATCACCCGCCTGCACCTACTGGAGTGTGCGAAATTCGAAGGAATGTCACTCAATAGTATAGTTGGAAGAATTCTTGACGATTAAGCTGCATATACAATGCGAAAATAAATTCTAGAAATTATGATTCCAGCCCAACTGGAGTCACGATTCTGGATGCGGCCAATTCCTTCGAGTCGATATCGGAGCTCCTTTAGCCCGGATCGCCTCCAATTCACAATCATCTCTAGAGCGCTCTAGTTTATTTATTCACACTGATTATCCACGCAGACATTATCAATTCGTCAGCTCTGCTTGGCGTTTGATAGATGAAGGGGCTGTCGTCGTTCTCGCCCGGGAGTTGCTCCCGTACAGCGAGGGTGCTCGTTCGGAGCATCACTCTGCCGATACAGAAGACATGATTTCGCAGAATTGACAGCGTGGCGCAAGCGAAGGTGCGCGAAGATCCCGATCCGAGTCGACGCCTCATGGTCGCTCCCGAGAGGCAGGAACTGTCGCAACTTAAGTCAGAGTCATAATTTTCGGAGGAGAGACCAGTTGAAGGTCCTCATTGAAAGACGTTCCTGTTTTTGTCAATTGGAGTCAACGACGGCGGAATACTCGTTCTCGACTTCGGACCATAGCCAGCGTTGCCTTCGGAGGCTGGCGAGCGGAAAGCATGGTGCCTGGACCTCTCTCTTCCTTATCGCAGCCGATAAATTGGTCTTTCGACCTCAGCGTCCAAATGCAGCCCATCGTGAGTGATTCTCATCTCCCGATTATCACAAGTAAGAAGAGAGTCCCTAGTTTCACATTCTCGAGCGACGTGTGATCGGCCGAAGGAAGAGCCCATCCTTCAGATGTGGGGTCCAATGCACACGGAGCTTCCATACAACCGAGTTTCCATGCAGGAGTTCTGTGAGTTTGACTCCGTGAATCGCGGCGATACAATTAAACTTGATCGGTAGTAGGAGGTACATATATGTACGTCCTCTAGACGGCTCTGGTAAGCGTGGAGAAACGGTCGACGACCGCTTGTTCACTTGATCTCAAAATCTTCCGCGTTTTTGCAATATCTATGTAATGAAGTGATGTAGGGCGGAACGGCAGAGTGTCCGGCCGAGGCATGTTTCTCGTTTGAGAACTAAGCTGCTAGATTGAGAAATGGAGGTTCAGGGCTGATGAAGGTCGGGAGCCAGCAGAATGCGATAGCGAACGCTGATCCCCTCTCGACGTTGCGACGGTGGCCTCGAGGTGAAATTGATCATCGGTCCATACGATGTCGTTTCCTGACACCCACGGGAAGTGTATTGAGGGTATGAGAGACATGTCGGTCGTCTTTGCCGCATCGGCACTCCACATCACGCGGTCCCTTGAGCGGATCTTGCGCTCGGAGGGGGGCAAGCAGCGAGTAAATTCGCAACATGCGGGAAGCTCATTCCCCTGAATACTCGGAATTAGTCGTAGCCCGTCTGTTCGTCACGGTCGTCTCTCCGTTTTCTGATGCGAATGTCGCCTCGAAGGCCCTCATTGAATGATAGCAATTCGACCAGCTGGAAATAAGGAAGATTTTCACGAATAATCTGCGTATGAGACGATTAGAAAATACCTTCGTTGGAAGGGGGGGCACTCCATCGCTTGCCAGAATTCGAGGGTAGGATTCGTTGCGCGCTTACGAGACCAACGGTATAATTCTCGGACCGATCGCTGCAGTGCCTGGAGGCCACTCTGATCCTAGCCGCCTCGATGAGCATCAGCATGAGGAGACTTACGTCCGAATTTACTCATGGGACGTGGCCGTGTTGGTCGAGGCTGAGCTTGTACAATGTCGCGAAAGCTCGAAACATGATCGGAACGGCGCTTGTGGCCTATCGGAGCATCGCCGCGGCCCATAGAAGAAAAAAGCTGTGAGCATGGCTCGGCGGCCGAGGAAAAAATGATCTGCGAATCTTCCTCATGGTCGATATATGATAGGATTTTGAATTTTCAGTAGCTTCGGGAACAAGTGTGTCCCCGTCACAATGGCGAAGATCGATGATAGAACTTCAGTCCTGCACCAAGCCATCTGGTATCTGGTAACCCTGTATTGGATGGTAATGATGGCTCATCCATTCTTCGTGTGGTTCCTCTGGAAGTATTGGTTGCTTCGACCGCTTATCGTGAGCTCTCATGAGTTTGATATGATTTTACTGGTTTCCGAATTACTGCTCGATTATTTTAGAATTTAGGATTACCCGGCCCCTAATGGTGAAGGAATCTTCACGTTCTCCCCCCAGATTTGGTACGCCCCCTTGACGTTCTTCGTTGCATCCTGGTTGATCTGCTTCGCGGTTGCCCGCGTGTATATCTTCATTAGCAGAGCGACGATCGGCGCTTCGCTTGACGGAGCATACATGAAGCTGCAATTGCTCATCGCTTACTATTCCATCAAACTATTACACGGTCAGTGACGCTTTCGGGAAGGGGCAGGGAACGTTTACTGCTGTCTAAGCCTGTCTGATGCCAATCGATCTTCAGCTCGCTCATTTCCCTAATAGATGGCTGTCAGAAGAGGTGAAATTATTGTTCTGGATTGCAGGCATAGAAGTTCATGGAGCCGAGAACTTGCCGGAGGACGGCGGCCTCATAATTGCCCCCCACGCTCCCTGCTTGCCCATCGACATGCTCTTCTTCCTCAGCTACAGCAATCTGAAACTGGGACGCTCCGTGGGCGGTTGCGTCGACTTTACTTGGCATAAAAACAATTTCAGTGGACCGACGCTCGAGGTAAATTGAGATAGAGTGTCGGGTGAGTGCTTGAGCTTGAAGCTCCTTTGTGGTTCACTCCGGCGAGTGATATTCGTGTAGATCGGGTCGTCATCCAACCTAATCATCGAGAAACCGGTGAATTACCCGTACCAAGGTTCTGATCCTGCTTCGGAAACAGCGGCGCTGCTCTACAGAATATCCTTGCCTGGTCCATTCGAACAAAATGTATTCGGAGCACGAATGCGCGATTTTTGAGATAAAGATGAAGAGTATTTATTCTAATTGAGAAATTGTAGCTGTACGGTTTCAGTAGCGAGCCCAAGACGTTGATAGATGGTTTGAAACAAAATCGATTGAGGATGGTCTTGCCTGGAGGTGCCTACGAAGCCATGTTCAGCAGAAACTACGAGTGAGTAAAATGATAAGAGCTGAGAGGTTCTCACTTTGCCCTTGGTGTCTCCTACAATCTTATGCGACCGCTATGAACCGATGCTCGGGAAAAAACCAGCTTCATCGAGGAAGCCTCGTTTCATTCGATCATTGTCCAGTTTCCCGGAAAAATTCCGCTCATCCCGGTTTTTGAACTTGGAGGCAGTCGATTCGAATCTTCCTCACGATTGCGATGCTGGTGCTCAGGAAGAAATGCGCTCATGGAGCGCTGAGGGCGTGCTTATGCGGCTCCACGGCACGAGTTCTTGCCCGTGCAGAGCAGTGTATTCATCCGTGAGCTAAATTATGCACGGATTGATTTGAGTGAGTCCCGGGATCGACGCGAACACTGTTCATTCGAGGAGTCCCTAGTTCAACTGCACTCTCCGGGTTTCGAGTTCCTCAACTTCGCATCCCCCAATGGGGTTTGTACTGGGTGAGAGCAACATCGGAGATTCATCGTTTGACGGAGGTTTGCGCCCTTCGTCGCACGATTATATGATGAACTCTGAGGAACTTTGCGCTCTTGTTCCGCTTGAACTTACGCTGTTCTCGAGTCGACTCGCGTCCAAGTTCCATAGCATCGCATTCGCAATCGAGGAGGCATTCCTAAGTGATCAAAAAGGGAAAGGGTGAAGAATGAGAAACTTTTAAACTCTATTTCGGGCCCCCACCAGTGAATAGTTATTCGACGCAGTGCTCTGAGACTTATCGCTTCAGTCAGAACTGAACTGGCACTTGCGTTTTGTTTTCGAATTTCTCGTTTCTCAGGCTGGAATGGCGGGCTCGCCTCGGATTTGCGAGAGTGGCTAAAGAGACAGGGAAACCAGTAATCCCGTCGTTCACGACGAACCTCCAACATTCGATGCCTTTATTCGACTTTCCCATATCAGGTATTCGAAGCATATTTTGCGTAGACTTTGGGGGAGCACATTCACTTCAAAATGATGTACTCTACAAGCAGGGAGAAGAGCCCTCGCAGGTTTCAAGATCTTTCATTTCAGGTTTCATGAGGCGATGGTACGCTGTTTCGAAACGACCCTTGATGGTACCCAAAATCTACCTTCCGGTGAAAATGTGTATGCATTTCGGCGAGCCTCTTTATTGCGGACGGGATGAAGAGCCGGAGGAATTCGCTCTGAGGGTGAGTCCGACCCAATAGGCTTGCAGTTCGCAAGGACACTACTTCCGATCTCTCGTCTCTCGTCTCGACTGATATTTCCTCGGATCGCTTCCCACCTGAAAGCCCTCTTCCAGTGCAAGAAAGCGGTGGAAGACCTGCGAGACAGGCTCCAGCCGCCTCAGCGTTCGCTTCTCGCTGCTCTGATGCAAAGACTGATATAGCCAGGAGATGCGCGACTGCAAGTCCGGGCCGCAGCGATTGATCGTGAACTCGGAAGCGAATCTCCGCCCAGTGACGCCGGGAACGGCCCGCGGCTCTTCCACTTCGAGTCCTGCGCACTTGGTTCGTGAAGTGGGTAATCGAACCAATACGAGGTCCCAATCGCAATATTGTTGACAACTAATTCCGCATTTCGAATAAAACACGAAGCCGCGTTACTTAGTGTCGAGGCCTGTCACCGTCACTAATTGTGAAAACGTTCTCCGCTTTCGACTGACTTCCGCGACTCCAAATCCGAAGCCCAGCTTGCATCAGAGAAGGCAATAAGCTGATCCCTCATAGAAGCATCAGTGTACACGACGCCGAGCTCTAGATTCCTGTCACATTTTTCTCGACTCCACTCCCCGAGAACAATGTTCTGCGCCCTTTTCCCCTCGGAATCCATTCCTCGTGCTCTTTGCACCCCGGTTTTCAGCAGCTCTCTTCTTGGGGACCGAGTTCTCGCTGCTGTTCCTAAGAGGTTACACAGCGTCAGAACATGTCCGAGCTTTGGACATGAACTCCACCCTTGCTCTTCCGCAACACTCCTCCGACAAGCGCTTGTGGTCCATCTTCAACCACCCAGCAGAATTCAAATCTTACGTAGGTCAGATCCAGGTCAGTAGCGCATCCAGAGAAGGGGGCGGGCCGCCCCAGGCATCCGCTCCAGGGGCCTCGAAATGGCTCGAAGGAGGGCTGAAACTCCTTGAAATGTCTTGGCTCAAAGCGGACCACGCTCGCTGTTTCTGTACGGACCCAGCGAGTCCGATATTTCGGGAAGCTGCTTTCCTGGTCAAGCGGGGATGCAATCTAGACAGGGGAGCACGAGAATTCGAAGTCATGCAAGCTGTCGATCGGCTGATATTTTCCTCTAGTGGACTCGAACTCCCGAAAAGCATCACTCAGGGTATACGTAATGAATCGATCCCTTCCGTAGAGGTCAAGGGTCCTGGTGTCGTGGGGATTGAAGCACGAGGCGTTCGCTGATTTGCGGCAGGTGTCATGCTCTCGCTGTCACAATCATGCGGCGAGAAATGCCGATCGAAGGAATTGGGGAACTTCCGCCGTGCCTCGTAGATGCGGCGGCGCTCCTCCTTGGAACCCCTGCAAAAAGATACACGAAAAGAGTGAATGATAGAGAAAGACTGTGAAATACTAATAAAGACGATACGATCTCGAAGGTATTCCCCTTAAGAGTTTTCAAAAGTCACCTCGAACTCGACTCTCGTCGCGATCCCGACCTCTTGCTCATGGTCGCGAACTTGTGTGACGAACCCATCGACGAGGACTTGGATGCCCAATATCATAAGTGCCGGGGCAGTGTCCTTTCCAAAGAACTTCGGATAACTCTATCTTGCATACACTTCATATACACAGAGCACGCGTCGCGAATTCGGAGAAGCCTACCCCGCTTCACTTCGGGCAGTAAGACTCTTAATGAACATACCTGTGTCATTCCAGGACGAGGCTCGGCTCGGCGGAAAGAAGTCTTACCAAAAGTCCCAAATGATCGAAAAAGTGGATGCACCTGCACCCGCCGTCGAAATTGAATTATTTCGATGGTGTGGAATGTGATGACGAATGAACGACGGATGGCTCGGATGTTGTTCAGCCATGTCCTCTGAAATTCACGGTCGGCGATTCAGTGTCACTGGTATTCTCATTTCATGGAGGATGAGCTCGGTGGGAGTGTCACAGTCATCCTCAGACTGAGACTCCTCTGCGAGTATAAATGATGAACCTTGATCACGTTACAATCGTCTGTCGCGACACGACCGCGACGCGGGCTGTCCCGTGACCCCGGTGGAGAATCCATGCATGAGCTCAGGCCTCGCTCTAAATACGTATACGTATGTATACAGCGATACAAGGATGTGGCTCATAGCGAACTCGACTGAAATTGCAAATGAAGGACATATGCGAGACCCTCCCCTATTCAGGCGACCACCCGTCACCGCGGACGACCGTGAGGAGGAAATACACTCGCCAGATCCAATATTTCGCGCGTTTTTCCAGCCAAGTATCCTCGGGAACTTCCGGCCGGGCTCTGGGAAATACGAAGAATCTTCAGAAGCTGCGATTAGGCTCCCGGGTCTCGGACGTATCCTGGCAGATGGGTTCTTTCACTAGATACTATTTACCCGAGCCTTACACTGCAGTCGAATATCCGCTCTCCTTGGCCGTTCGACGAGGCAATTTTTTCTTCAGCTCTTCTGCCGAAGATTTTCCTCAACTCCTCTCTCATCCGCAGTCATAATTCCTCTCGGGAATCGTTGATTTCCGCGTCGATTCCGTACTCAGACCATGGGGGTAATGTCTTGATATATCCTCCCAGATATCATGTGGTAATTCATGAGTCGGAGACCGGAGTACCGCTCAAGACTGGAAGTTCCTGCTTCAAGCGTGGAATGTCTGCTGAAGGTAAACCGCAAGTGAGGGCTGGAGGCTCCCCCCGTGAGGTGTTCCGAGTTCACTTTGACAGCACGGCACCCTATACTCTCACTCTCGCTTCGAAGGCCCGAGCTTAGAGCGTACAGTCGCACAGATTCATCTACGGAGCCCCGATCGCTATCGCACTCCATGAACGAGTCACTCGTGGAGTCGACTTCCGTTCTACGAGCGTTACGGTCCATTTCACAGAGCCAGTGACTTCGCTTCTCAGGAACACACTTGCACTGCAGGTGAGGGGTCCAACAGATCAGCGACCGTGTCATCGTTTGAGGAAGCACCGCGATCGGCACTCGGGTTTCCCCCAATGTTTCCGCATCAGCAGAGGATTCCAGGAAAATCTCGATCTACAGGGAGCTTTCTGAGAGAGAAAGCTTCACTTCCTCATGATTTCAACCGAAATTCATTGTTTGTCGGAGCAAGCCGGCAAGCGTCGAAGTCACTCATGGAACTCGCGACGTATCGACCTCATGACGAAGTCGAGCTTCTTCCGATGATAAATCACATTCATCACATTCGGGAAACATGTTCGAGAACTCGTCGTGAGCGAGGTTCCTCTAGTGATCTTCGCTCGAGTTTTCCTTCCGCGAGTTCCTCCGATGACGTCTTTGGATCGATCGGGCTGTGTCTCGGATCATAGATTTCGAAGACAACGAGGAAGACCTCTAGACTCTTGATTTCATGTGTTACAGCGCCCGATGAATTTTTTCCCGTCACCGGGTGCCTCAGGCGGGAGTCCGAATCGCACAACGGGAATGGCAGCTCGTCGCAACGGTCGATGCACGACCGAACATCGCGTGAGAGCGGAGAAGCGACGATTTTCTCCACAGCCTTTGCCCTCGAGAGCTTGCATCAGAGAAACGGCACTAGAATGCGAAATCCTCCATCCGTCGGAGATAGGAACAATTCTCCGGCTGGACAACGCAGAGGGCTCTCGCAGTTCTCGATCGTATTATGATTTCAGCCCAACTGGAGTCACGATTCTGGATGCGGCCAATTCCTTCGAGTCGATATCGGAGCTCCTTCAGCTCGGACCGCCTCCAATTCACAATCATCTCTAGAGCGCTCTAGTTTATTTATTCACACTGATTATCCACGCAGACATTATCAATTCGTCAGCTCTGCTTGGCGTTTGATAGATGAAGGGGCTGTCGTCGTTCTCGCCCGAGAGTTGCTCCCGTACAGCGAGGATGCTCGTTCGGAGCGTCACTCTGCCGATACAGAAGACATGATTTCGCAGGATTGACGGCGCAAGCGAAGGTGCGCGAAGATCCCGATCCGAGTCGACGCCTCATGGCCGCTCCCGAGAGGCAGGAGCTGTCGCAACTTCGGACCATAGCTAGCGTTGCCTTCGGAGACTGGCGAGCGGAAAGCATGGCGCCTGGACCTCTCCCTTCCTTATGGCAGCCGATAAATTGGTCTTTCGACCGCAGCGTCCAAATGCAGCCCATCGTGAGTGATTCTCATCTCCCGATTATCACAAGTAAGAAGAGAGTCCCTAGTTTTACATTCTCGAGCGACGTGTGATCGGCCGAAGGAAGAGCCCATCCTTCAGATGTGGGGTCCATTGCACACGGAGCTTCCATACAACCGAGTTTCCATGCAGGAGTTCTGTGAGTTTGACTCCGTGAATCGCGGCGATACAATTAAACTTGATCGGTAGTAGGAGGTACATATATGTACGTCCTCTAGACGGCTCTGGTAAGCGTGGAGAAACGGTCGACGACCGCTTGTTGACTTGATCTCAAAATCTTCCGCGTTTTTGCAATATCCATGTAATGAAGTGATGTACGGCAGAACGGCAGAGTGTCCCGGCTCTGATTCCTCGGGCCGGCCGAGGCATGTTTCTCGTTTGAGAACTAAGCTGCTAGATTGAGAAATGGAGGTTCAGGGCTGATGAAGGTCGGGAGCCAGCAGAATGCGATAGCGAACGCTGATCCCCTCTCGACGTTGCGACGGTAGCCTCGAGGTGAAATTGATGATCGGTCCATGCGGTGATTCACGAATAATCTGCGTATGAGACGATTAGAAAATACCTTCGTTGGAAGGGGGGCACTCCATCGCTTGCCAGAATTCGAGGGTAGGATTCGTTGCGCGCTTACGAGACCAACGGTATAATTCTCGGACCGATCGCTGCAGTGCCTGGAGGCCACTCTGATCCTAGCCGCCTCGATGAGCATCAGCATGAGGAGACTTACGTCCGAATTCACTCGTGGGACGTGGCCGTGTTGGTCGAGGCTGAGCTTGTACAATGTCGCGAAAGCTCGAAACATGATCGGAACGGCGCTTGTGGCCTATCGGAGCATCGCCGCGGCCCATAGAAGAAAAAAGCTGTGAGCATGGCTCGGCGGCCGAGGAAAAAATGATCTGCGAATCTTCCTCATGGTCGATATATGATAGGATTTTGAATTTTCAGTAGCTTCGGGAACAAGTGTGTCCCCGTCACAATGGCGAAGATCGATGATAGAACTTCAGTCCTGCACCAAGCCATCTGGTATCTGGTAACCCTGTATTGGATGGTAATGATGGCTCATCCATTCTTCGTGTGGTTCCTCTGGAAGTATTGGTTGCTTCGACCGCTTATCGTGAGCTCCCATGAGTTTATATGATTTTATTGGTTTCCGGATTACTGCTCGATTATTTCAGAATTTAGGATGACCCGACCCCTGATGGTGGAGAAAATATTTCTCCACGCTCTGCCCTCAGATTTGGTACGCCCCCTTGACGATCCACATTGCATTCTGGTTGATCTCCTTCGCGGTTGCCCGCGTGTATACCGTCATTAGCAGAGCGACGATCGGCGCTTCGTTCGACGGAGCATTCATGAAGCTGCAATTGCTCTTCGTTTACTATTTCAGCAAAATATTACACGGTCAGTACGGCTTTCGGAAAGGGGCAGGGGACGTTTGCTGCTGTCTAAACCTGTCTGATACCAATCGATCTTCAGCTCGCCGATTTCCCTTATAGATGGCTGTCAGAAAGAGGTGAAATTATTGGTGTGGATTGCAGGCATGGAAGTTCATGGAGCCGAGAACTTGCCGGAAGACGGCGGCCTTATAATTTGCCCCCACGCTCCCTGCTTGCCCATCGACATGCTCTTCTTTCTCAGCTACAGCAATCTGAAACTGGGACGCTCCGCGGGCGGTTGCGTCGACTTTATTTGGCATAAAAACAATTTCATCGGACCAGCGCTCGAGGTAAATTGTGATAGAGTGTCGGGTGAGTGCTTGGGCTTGAAGCTCCTTTGTGGTTCATTCCAGCGAGTGATATTCGTGTAGATCGGGTCCAGAGCTGTTCGCCGCGTTCTGGATACTAATCGGGTCGTCATCCGACCTAATCATCGAGAAATCGGTGAATTATCCGTGCCGAGGTTCTGATCCTAGTTCGAAAACAGCGGCGCTGCTCTACAGAATATGCTCGCTTGGTCCACTCGAACACTATGTATTCGGAGCACGAATGCGCGATTCTCGAGATGAAGAGCAATTATTCTAATAATTGAAAAATTGTAGCTGTACGGTTTCAGTAGCGAGCCCAAGACGTTGATAGATGGTTTGAAACAAAATCGATTGAGGATGGTTTCGCCTGGAGGTGCCTACGAAGCCATGTTCAGCAGAAAGTACGAGTGAGTAAAATGATAAGAGCTGAGAGGTTCTCACTTTGCCCTAGGTGTCTCTTACAATCTTATGCGACCGCTATGAACCGATGCTCGGGAAAAACCCAGCTTCATCGAGGAAGCCTCGTTTCATTCGACCATTGTCCAGTTTCCCGGAAAA